CTGTAAATGATGATATGACCTCGTTTCTTCTATCTCTATTCCCTAACTTAGAATGGTGAACATGGAAGTTATCGGATCAGTCAATCGAAATCTCAGACACTGATGTTGGTGAGACACTGGCCTACATTTAGATTTCTGGTGTCATCGTGAGTTCAGATAGGGATTGTCGTAACCTGACATGTTTCAAAGCTAACTATCGAAAGCTGATGGGTGAAATAAAAGCCAGCCTAAAAACACGTGGGACAAGTAGAAACAATACACATGAATGGATTACCTAGATTACTCGTTTCGTTTCAGTCTTTATCTGACCTACATTTAAAATAATAAATAAATGACTATCTAAAGTCATTTGGAAAAAAACAAACAAACTGGAATTGGGCAGCCCAGCTCAAGTCAGTGGTTACATGAATATCTCAAGATAACGAAACCAACTGGGTCAGGATGGAAAAGGGTGAAGGCTCCACATATTTTAGATAGAATCCCATTCAAGAGTGAAGATATCGGGAGATGAAATAATTTATGACTAGGTAAAAAAAAAAATCCCCACTGTGAGAAAAAAACGAAGATTCTCAAGTTCAGCTTCCAGCAGGTGAGGATTGCACATAACTCTCACTTTATTCCCTCCCAACTAGAAGCAGGGTTTAGAAAGTGGGAATGAAACAGCTCGATACTCTTGGACCAGCTGTTTGAAGCAGAAGACCTGGTGTTCTTTGAGCAGCTTCAGCACAAATATGATCGTCCACCACATTACTTTTCAGCTGTAGAGAAAGGCAAAAAAATGGGACAAGCTGCATGCTGTGCCATTAAAATATGAAGCAATTTGTTACCATTAACATCCCCCACCCACTCCAAGCCCTTGTCACATCAAAATTTGTGAACATCTCAGGTCAGTGGTGGAGGGACTGCGGCACACACAAAACTATCAGACTACTGCCAACATATACAAAATGAATTCATAAAGAGAAGTGTTCTTAAACCATCTTACTCTGTATATAATGGGCTAACTGCCAGAAGGATTAAAAGGCGACAATAGGATATTCCTACTGAAAGTCTTTTTATTAGTTGATAAGAAGACGATCAGAATCTCATGGACGAGGCCGCAGCCTCCCACAGTGGATCGATGGAGGGAGAAGGTTAAGAAGGTTTGCTACATGGACAGCATACTACGAGATAACAACTAAAACTAGATATATCCTCAATAAAATGAGTCCCACTTGTCTCTTGTTTCCTCATTTGAGAATATTTTTTTGCTCTTCTGTTTTTGGTGCTACCACTACTTTGTGCTCCTCTCTGCTGTGAGTGACACATATTGTTACCTGTCTCTGTAATAATCTGACCCACACTAAACTCATGGACGGGACATACACACACACAATGGACAACCGTACCCTCAAACACACAATAATAACGGACTGAACCACCACTCACAACCACTAGCCCTTTATATAGCCTCTGTAGAAATTATCCACATATCTCACTTATCTTAACTGCACTACTGTATAGTTCTGTGTAAATAATCATTCTGTACATACGATAATTTTTAATCCTACAACTGTTTATAACTTGCATAGTTCACATTTCTGTATAACTGTATATCTCAGATTTCTGTATAGTTTTTTTATTTGTTATTTATATCCTGTACATAGCTTGTACTCACTACAGCCTGTACATACTTATAGTTATAGAATATTCATAACATACTTCATACCGTGTACATTATAACATACCATAATAGACCCATTTCTGTAATATACTTACATATCTATATTATTGCTAATATATGTTGTAATATATCTATATTATTGCTAATATATATTGTAATATATCTATATCACTAAAGCACTTCTGGATGGATGCAAACTGCATTTCGTTGCCCTGTACCTGTGCATGTGCAATGACAATAAAGTTGAATTCTATTTTTATTCTATTCTAATAATGTCAGAGTGTTGTTAGGATTGTTGAATGCCATAATTAGTTTGTTTATGTTTCATTTCTCTCATGTCATGTGACTACGGAGCTAAATATGGGCATTACACTCTGTTGCACTTATGCTGTGTGTGTGAAAAAGAGGCGTGATTGATTGGACTGTCTGATTTCACTTGATGAATGGAAATAAAAAGTTCAAAAAGAGAACAGAAAGTTGTTATCTACCCAGCAGGAGTATCTAAGCTGTGTTTCTCAGGCATTTGCAACATTTTATATTTCCCTGCACAGCATCCTTTAAACCTGTGGGCTCCATGAACCTCATCATTCCCATCATTCTTCATTGTTGATCTGCTCTTTCTCTACATACAGGATGAGGTCATTACTTTATAAAACATCACAAGTGTTTAGATGCATAAAAAAAGTCCATATTTTGAATAGAACATTGTATGAACATGGATCTGAGTTAGTTTAGCTCAGTGGAGCGGAAAATTCAAATTATTTAACACAAGATTTTCATTTTGTAGATTTCAGTCCTGACACATACGATCTGTCTATAATCTTCAAAAAGTGTATTTTGCTTATTCTAGCTCTGTATTAATTTGTGTATCGTCTGTTATCAATATCCAGTGTTTTTCTACACACACAGTTTAATTGGCTGCACACTGGCTGCCAAAGTCTATTTTGTAAGTCATATTTTAGCTGTTACTTTCTTGGTCTCATTTTGAATGTTGAAGGTTCACTGGATTGTGAATAATATATGTGAATGTTTGATAGAGTGCACTGAAGTGTAGAAGTGCTTGTATGAATAGGTGAATGAGGCTCAAACAGAGTAGAAAAGCGCTATATAAGAACTAATCCACTAAAGTTACTGTTGTTCGTCTGCTGGTTTGTTTGGTTGTGGATATGATTTGGCTGTTAAGGCTGGTTGGAACAAGCTAAACTGATACCAATCTGGGCTTTTTTAGTCTGTGTGTCTAATTACTTCTTGACTTTCTACTGCGTTTGTTGTACTTTCCATCCATTATCAATCAGTCGCAGTGAATTCCTGTACACTGGAAATTCTGCAGAGATAATTTTATTCTGTACTGTTGGATAACATTTGTACTCTGCTAAATTCTCACTGACTAATGCTGACTGATTTTTGCAGGTGCGTACAACAACACCTGGGTATTAACATTAAAAAGCAAATCATTTTAACTTCAACTTTCCCAATTATGGTGCTGTATGGGAAGCTTTAAATGTGGTGCTGATTTAATCTCTATAAAGGCAAAATTGTCCGTGCCACTCCTTCAAAAATCTGACTTCAATTATTTGCATATACACAGTGCCAGCTTCTGGTTATTATTCATGATTGTTTTGATCCAAAATCTGATGATAAGTGGTGTCTCATGGGAGTTGCAGGGCCATCTACTGCCAGAGATTTGGTTACTGCTGCCCAGATATTCACTGTGTTGGCCAGGTTAATGCTCCTACCTGACAGACTAAACGTCTGTGTCGGTGGAATAATCTGCTAGGATCGCCTGTCCAGTCTTTGAACATGTGAGTCTTCGGGGTAATTTTTACATTTTGATTAACCGGAGTCAGACTGGCACTGAGAAACAAAAGAAGAGTAACATTTTTCCCTCAAAGGTTCACAGCATTTTATGATTAGAACCGAATACAAAATCAGCAAATACGTTTATTGACAGGAGCTGAAATCGAACTCCTGAGCTCTTTCTTCACCAACAAACATACTGTAGGCGCACTGAGACAAACACACAGGAAAACAGACGCAAAATAACTTACAAACAAGTGATTTTATCAGATACAGTAAGCCTTTTGAAATAATTTATCATCATAGCTCTAGTCTGGAGTGTTGTGGACTATTTTTTACTTTAGCAGTTTGAAAATAATTGGATTTATCCTTGAGCAGGGGCGGAAATAATGAGGCCACTTACAGTTCCAATTCTCTCTGTGTGTGTATGTATGTATTGCTCAGACATCACAGCGAAGGAGTTCATTGAACTGAGGGGGAAGCAGCGGAGCCGCTACGAGCTGCTGGTGGACTTCCTGTCTGAGATGCTCTCGGTCCCACCCGATGATGTCAACATCTTTAGCCTCATGGACGTGAAGGAGCGAATGCTGGATGTTCGCTTTGCTGTGCATAGTGGCCCATCTTTCCTTCAGCCCGAGAAAATGCATGGTTACCTGGCTGCTCACAAGCAAAAGGTAGGTTTTTCTTTGTCTATTTTAGGCTTTTCTCCACACTGACACTCAGTTTTCTCATAATAAAGGCCACTCAACCTGATTATTGGCCGATCTGTTGACAACGCAACCTCTCGAATGACGCTCAGGTAATCTAACCAAGCGTACGTCAGTGAGCAAGTGCACTGCAACGCCACTTGTAGGGTAAGACACTCTGACATCTCACATGCACGTGAGTAAGCCTCCCAAAATTGGGTTGTGCTTTCTCACTGTATGGTTGCAATTGTTGGTTGCAAGCACAAGTTTTGCCTCTGGCAGTGTTTTGGCTGATGTCTACATTAAAATCTAACATATCAGTTAGCAGTCAAAATCTGTGACCTTTTCTCAGTTTGCTGGATGCATGATGCGGGCCTGACAGTCACAATTATAGACAATACAAAGAAACCAACCAACCAACCTAACTGCAGCAGAGATAAAACAAGTGGTGTGTCAGATTTGTCAGATGAACTCACCCGGAGCCGCAGATGGTGACTAACAAAACAACCAGCTACCTAAAGTACAGTACTGCATATAAAACACTCCCCCTAAGCCTGTCACACAGGTGCTGTCACCAGATCTCCACACCA